TCCCTTCTTGGTTCAGTACTCCATCAAGAGCCAATGGACTTTTGGAAATGCAATGTGTAAAATCATCAGCTCAGCTTACTTCATTGGTTTCTACAGCAGCGCCTTCTTCATAACCATCATGAGCGTCGACAGGTACTTGGCCATTGTCCGGTCTGTGTACGCTCTACGGGTTCGGACAACTGCCAATGGGGTTATCACCAGCCTGGTCCTTTGGGCAGTCGCCATTTTAGCATCAGCACCAGACTTAATTTTTTTCCAGGAAACGAATGACAATAACCAGACTAAGTGCATCCCTCGCTATCCTGACAGCAGCAATGGCTGGAAGACTTTGAATAATTTTCAAGTCAATGTCCTTGGGTGGCTGATCCCTGTTGGTGTTCTCATTTTCTGCTACCACAGCATCTTGAAAAACCTGCAGAAGTGCCATACTCAGAACAAGTACAAAGCAATGAAACTGGTTTTTATTGTCGTCATTGTGTTCTTCCTCTTCTGGACCCCTGTCAACATTGTGCTTTTTCTGGACTCTCTGAGGAAGATGTACATCATTGACGACTGCCAGACAAGCCAAAGGCTAGATTTAGCCATGGAGCTGGCTGAGGCGCTCTCCTTTATCCACTGCTGCCTCAACCCTGTCATCTACGCCTTCGTGGGTGAGAAGTTCAAGAAGCATCTCTGCAAAGCTTTCAGAAAGTACACAGGTTTTCTGTTGATCTGCAAAGGCTACAGTGTTTCTCATGGTCGCAGCCTTGACAAGCACTCCTCTCTGTATGCAACGTCCTCACAGTCGTCTTTTGTTGGTGCTGTCTTATAGAGCTACAAGTCAAAAACTTTCATCCTGAACAGGTGACCTGAATTTGAGAAATCCACAGGGATACACAGTTTGGACAACCTTTTAGGACAGGAAAAGCGGAAGTAGCTGCTTGAGCTTGCTTTTATCATGGTTGCCTTTGGTGTTCTTACTATTTAGTGTCTTTTTTAGCATTCCTCCCTTTCCCTTGTCATGTCCTACCCTGCCTGCTTTGTGAAAGGGAGGCCAAAATTATCAGCAGACTCCTGCGCTATCTGAGCAGTACGGAGAGGTGCTGTAGAAACATTTATTCCCGCACCTCAGATTCAGTGCTGAAAGGACCCGTTTATGTTTCTGAACTCGGAACACTTGGCCACTCCTTCCCTCATCTCAGCAGAGTAGGTTGGCTTTGTAGGCAGAGACGGAGCTCACAGCAGGAGCCAGAACCCACTCTTTGGATGGAAATGGTGCCCAAGTTTAAGGTATCACACCAGGGCCTGGCTCCCAGTTGACAGATCTGAAGGAGGTTTCCAGCTCAGAAAGAGCTTAGTGAATGAATAATTAGATATGCATCAAAGAAATAAATACTATGCATGTGTTTTGTCAAAATCAACATGGAGGAATACCTAGGGATGATCCTGACTCCCCATGTGCTACCAGGGCCTGCAGCTCCTGGGCTGAAAGGGTTTGGAAGCTGTAGCCTAGAAATTACACTGGGTGTCAAGAAAAAACCTTTATGGGAATGAATGAGTGCCCTAGGTATGAGTGGAGAAATAGTTGCTGAGAAAAAAAGGCTGAAGAGTGGAAAAAATACTGTGTGAGTGTCCTGGTTCCAGCAGGCATGGGGTTAATTTAAGAATCTGGTGGGGGACACAGGTATTCCATACCATGTGAGCCATGCCCGGGCTATAGGGGGGAGCCGGCCAGGGCAGGGGGCTGGAAGTGGCAGCTTGGAGCAGGCCGGGGCTGCCTGGGTCCAGTCGGTGAGTGGTGGTACACCGTAATCGCATTTGTACATTCCTTTATCGGTGGTGGTGGTGGTTTTCTCTTTCCTTTGCTGTTCTGTTAAAATGCCTTTATCTCAACCCACGAGTTTTACCTTTTTCTTCCGATTCTCCCCCACGGCTGTGGGGGTTCTTCGTTGCCGGCTGAGGCCAAACCACAACAGTGAGTCATATGTCAAAGCTTTCTGCGGACTCGCTGGCTGGTGAGCTACAGGCCAGGGCAGTGGCTGCTCTCAGCAGAGCTGAGGGGCTGGTTGTTCTGCAGATCCCCGAAACAAGATGGAGAGAGATACAGAAGCATCCTGTAACTGAGGTGGTATCTAAAGCAAACAGCACTGGTTTGAGTGGCCGGAGGCTCTGGAGATGCCTAAAACACAGACGACACTCACGCTTCCCCATGAGGGAACTTTTTGAACACTTTAAGCAACTGATGTGCCCGTATGGTCACTGCTCTTGAGCATATGACTGGGGTTGACCTCCAAATTACTGTTCCAACTTGGTAACTGTGAATGACTGATTTGTAAGTGCATGCATATACATACAGATTTACATACATATACATACATACATATATATACATGCACGTGTGTGTGTGTATCCAGAAATACATACATATACATGTATATATATGCACATATACGTGTGTGTGTATAGGTATGTCTATTTTATATATACAAATATCAATAGATAAATGCAGTGGCATTCTGAAGCTTTTAGTCCTGATCTATTTCTCCCTACAAGATATCACCATATTCGAAGTTTTATAATAAAGATACTGCATGCAGTGTAATTGCACAATCCTTGCACCTAAGGTACCTATTTCATCATTAATTCTTTCAGCTTGTGCACTTTCTTCTGTCCTGGGCAGTTGTACAAAACTGACAATCCCTCCAGCTGCCTCTTCTTTTCCTCCTCTCTCTCCCTCCCTCTTCCTCCTCCCCTGGGAAAAAGAAGCAGAGAGTAGATTATATTGTATTCTAGAAATGTAATTTCCTGTAAGAGTATACCCTTATAGTGCTTCTGCACATACGGAGTACCTTTGGGCTTACTTCCTAGAGCAGAGCAGAACAAAACACAAAATACAATTATATTAGATCACTGATCTTCCTCGGATAGGATTTACTATTTTAATATATCCTCATATTTGCAATCTGCAAGGTACAGTCTTTTGCAAGAACGGGCCAGTAACAGTACATAAGAAAAACATGCTGCCTCACGTGAGCCATGACACACGTTCTCCAAATTGTGACCAGAGGAAAAGGTTCAGCTGCTGCCTGGGTCCCAGCAGCAGGATCTCAGCCAGGCACAGCAGTACAGCTCCTGCCCTTCGGGTGCCTTGCCACCCTTGAGCAACCAGGCTTTTGGGGTTTTTTGTGTAGGCAAACACTCAGATGCTTGAGAAGGGGATTCACAAAAATTCAGGTGTCAGAGGTTTAGGCTGGGCTGGCCACTAAACGAATGACAGGACAAATCAAGACATCAGGACAAAGCCCAAGGGTGGTGGGCAGGAGGACAGCACCAGCCATCTCCCTCCCCTGCAGATCGGACCTCACTCAGCTAAATCACAGGAGACAGGAACAATTGCTGCAGCCCCGCAGCTCCGTCCTGCAGCCCTTCTGTGAGCACTTTGGGGCAGGCGCTGGAGCCCGTTTGCCCAAGCTGACAAGAGGATGGCCTTTCCCCGGCACTGCCGAGCATCTCTGCTAGGGCATATCTACCTCTTTTCAGAGGTTTCGGTGACTGCTACGCAGCTGTTAGAGCAACGCCGTGACCCAGGGCTTCCCCACAAGGGCTGTAACCCCATGGCAGGAGGGTAGCATAAATGTACAGAACCTTCTTTACAAAGTCTTTGGCTTTCTCTAGTTCTCACGAGAGTCTAAAGGGCACCTTCCCTCTGCTGCTGCCTCAGCCCTGCTTGCAGCACCTTCCTCCAGCGGGGAGGTGGGAGACGCTTTCTGCGGCTCAAAGGATTTCCTGCCGGAGGCAGTTGCCTTCCTCCACTGCAGCAGCAACACCAGGAGCCCTGAGCTGGACCTGGCCTCAACTTCTCCTCACAGCCCAACTGCTTTGAGCTGCTACAGCTGCCTTCCTGTGCAAAGGGAGAAGGTGAGACCCACATCCGGAGGCTGCACAGCTGGCAGAACCTGCCCTGTGTCACTGCGGGTGGCCAGGAGCATCCCTGCAGGTCTCACGGCTCCTCTCTTTCTGAAGGAACAAGCCTGGGAGCAGTCAGCTGCCCTGCCGGTGTCTGGGAGGGCACTGAGTGCACAGCAGAGCAGGAGACATCTTCCCACATCTGTGCGACCTGCTGGGCAGTCTGAGGGGAATGCCAAATTGTAGGGTCATCCCAAGAGCTGGGACCACAAGAAGTACCCATCTGCTGAGGCTGGACCATCCTGCACAGACCCCGTGCCTGTTCACCTGCTTAAATAAAAAGTACCCTCCACAGTTGTTATATTGGTCCTGCTCCTATCTGCTACTTAGCTTTACATCCTGATCTTGCTTTTTCTTCTTGCTGAAATGATGCAGGATGATGTTGGCACATTAAATAGTCAGATATTCTCTTGCTCTGGCTTCAGCGTGTCATCTTAAAACAGAGACTGGAGTAATTGTTACCCACATTCAAGCTTAAACTTAAAATACATACTTGTTTTCTTTTGATTCTTTCATGTTATTTGCAAAATACAGGGTAAAAAGGAGTGAAGTGAGTAAAAGCTGTGTTACTGGAGAAGATGCGATTCTCTTACCTGTGCGGTCCTATATATTCTCCATGATACGTCAATAGTGTTTGCCAAATTAGTGGAACTCAGTTACTCCTGTAGGGCAGTGACAGGGAAGGAGCACAGCGTCCAGCAGGGTTACAGTATTCAGCTCAAATTAATTCTAGTTTAGAAGGTTGCTGTGAGACCACCGATGGTCTGGGTGTGGGTTCTGCACTGCTTCAACTCAGATACCTCAGCCACCTTATCCTTGCTTGAGGTCACACTTGTTACCTAGAGGCAGGCAGCCAAATGGCAGGAACGTTTTCCAGAAATGGAATATTATGTTCTGTTCAAAAAGAGAGAAAATGTCAGAGATCTGTCATTTCTGTCATCAATATCACTACCCTAACTTGTGTTTCTTGAGAATCTTTCCATCTCTCTACAGCTCAGGGACAGACTTTCAGAAGTTAAATAAATAAATACATAAATAATAAATAAATAAATAGATAAATGGTACTGCTGTACATGCTGCTTTATCAGTATTACAGAATCACAGAATGGTCAGGGTTGGAAGGGACCTCTGGAGATCATTTAGTCCAACCCCCCTGCCAGAGCAGGGTCACCTACAGCAGGTTGCACAGGATGGTGTCCGGGTGGGTTTTGAATGTCTCCAGAGTGGGAGACTCCACAACCTTTCTGGGCAACCTGTTCCAGTGCTCCACTACCCTCAAAGTAAAGAAGTTCCTCCAGCCTCTCAAACCGAAGGGTCTCTGCTAGAAAGATGGAGTCTTTGCCTGATACCACCCACGATGCTTTACATGTTTGGACAGAAAGGCCTTGACAAGTTGGGTTGTTGCAGTGGCATTCCCGTCAGCGGGGCTCGTCTTGCACAACTGTCACTTGCTGCAGCGTGCAAACCTGTGCAGCAGTTGCAGAGGGCAAAGAGCATATTTAAGGACATGCACTGTTGAACCACACCAGCAAAAAGCGGGATATATGAGGACACGCCTGTGTATGTTGTTGCTAGATCCCTCGGGAAATAGTGTGCAGTGGGACGTGGTGGATTCTTCCATATCTCTCAGCTCTGAGCTGCAGGACCACAAGTTTAGCACAGGGAATGACAGTCTCAGCATCTTCTTTCAAAACAGCATCCCAGAGTATGAAACTAGTCCATATCTGACATCATGCTGAACCCTCCTTCCCAAGGCAACATGGAGACAACGCTAATTAAATCCTTGGCAGAATCTCTGGCTTTCAAGTCACTGGTTCAGGCCACTGCATGTGGTCTGGGGATGAGGATGGGAGCTTCTCACTTGAT